CGCCTCAACGCCTCTTCCGCAAAAACCAGAATCAGATGGCGGCATCTTCTCAAAAGGTGGCTCAAGGGTCGCACCAGAGGTTACGCCTACAAGTCTTTCACCTTCCAGTACGACGCCCTTAGCTATTCCTATAACTTCGACGACGGCTCTCACAGAGTTCAGACATGAAAGTTCTGTTTTTTTCTTCCTTTCTGTTGGGGGGTTCTGTTTCTGTTTTTGGTTTGATTCAACAACGTTTGTATATATCGAATATATATCGTATGTATTGGGCAGATCTGAGTTGCGCATCTTTAATTAACTCTGTTTCCTTGGCTGTTCCTAATCACTGAAGCGTATAAGACAATGTAATTGTGCTTTTAAATAACGTAACTTGTCTCTGTTTAGTACAAGGCGCTCCTCATGGACTCCAACATGTTGATTCCTAACACGACAAGCTCGATTGAACACGACAAGTTTGGCTGCATCGTAATTCCTAACACGACAAGCTCGATTGGAGGGTCATGATTTCTAATACGACAACCTCCTAATTTCATATTTTTTCTAATATCCCATAAAAGTTCAAATAGTCTTGTGCATCATGAAACATAAAAGAGAATGAGGTATTTTAAAGTGACAGAAGTTGTCAAAATCTCCTTCTAACGTCACGGCAAGATAGATACAATATCTAGAGAATGCTAAATTTGAAATGTATTACCATCACCTATCCTTTTCATTTTCAACTCATTCACAATTATTTTATTTAGTTGACTTCTAAAATTGCTTATTAATATTAATAGTAAGGTAAAGTTGAAAATGTTGAATTAAACTAAAGTTAGATCAAAATGTAAGTAAGCGTCCCAAAAGAAACATGTCAATGAGCTAGCTTCTTATAGGCCATCGTATGAACATCTTTGAATATTAATTAATTAATTATAATATATATAGTAAATACGAAAAAAAAATATAATTTTTTATTTTTTATTTTTGTGTCACATTCTATAATAATGTCATCCACTTAAATAATAGTATAAACAATAACAATCTAATAAAGATTAGAGACACATTCATAGTTTATCCAACACAAAAAATGGATAGAAAAGAGGTGTTTGCGTAATGGAGATGTCAGTTTATTGGCAACAACATATAAATAATCCGCATCTATTTTTCATGTTCTTTTGGTACCATTGGTGATCTTCCTATTTAAATTCAACCCAAAACAGCATCCAAAAGGATATTCTTTCCGGCTTCAAATTTTTTCTTTTTTCTAAATTTTAAAATCACATTTGACTTTTTTCAAGATTTAAATTATCATATTTCCCCTCTTCTACCTATCCCTCACTGGTTTCCACGTCCCTCTCCTCCTCCAATCCCTTTTAATTTATATTTGCTTTTATTAATAAGAAAAATTAAGATTGGTTGTATTAATTAATTTCTACCAGTAAAAACATGATCATTTAGAATTGTAACATGGATAGTTCTATTAAAATATATCAGGTCAACCATCGCTAATCTTCTTTCTTATATGTTTAAACTTTAGCTAATTTACTTCCCATTTCAAAATTGCCCGATTCTCTCTCCTTTTCTCTCCGGCGACCATGGCATCTCATCGCCTCTTCTTCTTACTCTTCCTGTTTCTTTCTCCGGATCAAACTCATTCCATTTCTTTCCAAATCAACGACTTCGATTCTCATTCCGACAACATGGTTTATCATGGAGATGCAAAGCCTCTTAATGGTTCCATTAGCTTCAATGGTCAGCTTGGTTGGGCCACTTACGCTCAAAGCCTGCGTCTTTGTGATCATTCCAAAGGCCACCTCTCGAATTTCAAAACCCACTTCTCATTTCTCATACCAAACTATAATCAAACAAACTCCACTGTTCATAGCAATGGATTAGCGTTTTTTCTTGCTCCTTCTGAATTCAACCCACCTCTTAATTCTTCTGGATCTTTTCTGGGTCTGTATAATTCCACGCGAAACGAGTCGTTTCATTCCCAAATTGTTCATGTGGAATTTGAATGGGATCCACCGTTTCAACACATGGGCATAAATAGAAACTCAATTGCTTCATCGATTTATTCGCCATGGAATTCAAGTGATTATCAGAAGAAGACACACGTGTGGATTTCTTACAATGCAACGGCTAAGAATCTGAGTGTGTCATTGAATAATAATGCAACTCTTTCTCATCATATCGATTTGTTGAAGATTCTTCCAGAAAAGGTGACAATTGGGTTTTCAACTTCGGTTCAGAATCTGAGTATTGAGTTTTGGGAATTCAGTTCGAGTGATTTTGAAGCAAATTATGAAGAGAATGATGACAATTTGCATATGGAAGAAAGTGAAAAGGCCATAAACATGAAATTATTAGCGGTTCTAATAGCTTGGGTGGGTGTTTTTGTCATAGCGATTCTCGCAATTTTTGTAGTTTCTTTGGCAAGATCTGGGGCAGGGGAGGAGAAGAAAGATGAACAACAACAACATGCAGGGATGAAATTGGCTTCAATTTATTCTGATTTGAACAAAGAGGCTTCATCACCAAGGAGATTCTCTTACAGATATCTAGCTATGGCGACAGATAACTTCTCAATGAATGGAAAATTGGGACAGGGAGGGTTTGGGACGGTGTTTAAAGGCCATTTGCCTGGTGCTAATAAGACAGTTGCTGTGAAGAGGTCTTCGAATGGCTCGATGCAGGGGAAGAGAGAGTATGTGAGTGAAGTGAAGATTATTAGCCATATGAGGCACAATAATTTGGTGCAACTCATTGGATGGTGCCACGAGAGGGATAATAGCGAGTTTCTTCTCGTCTATGAGTTCATGCCCAATGGTAGCCTCGACTCTCATCTCTTTGGAAAAGGCCCTCCTCTGCCCTGGCCTTTGAGGTACGTTTACGCTTACTCACTAGCTACTGTTCTCAAATGTGTAAAAGCTTTGATCTTTCATCCATATTATCAACTTAGGTACAAGATATCCTTGGGGCTAGCGTCTGCATTGCTATATCTTCACGAAGAATGGGAGCATAGCGTCATCCACAGAGATATCAAGTCAAGCAACGTGCTATTAGACTTCAATTTCACACCAAAACTGGGTGACTTTGGATTAGCGAGGTTAGCAAAGCATGAAGTGAACTCGAAAACACCTGGGTTGGTGGGAACTTTCGGGTACATGGCTCCTGAGTACATAAGCAGCGGTCGGGCGAGCAAGGAGTCAGACATATTCAGCTTTGGAGTGGTTTTACTTGAAATTGTGAGTGGGAGAAAGTGCTGTGATCATTCAGGGAAGGGGTTGGTAGAGATGGTTTGGGATGCTTATGGGAGAGGAGAGGCTGTTGAAGCAATATTGGATGAAAAATTGCGAGAGGGGTTTGTGGAGGCGAGAGAAGTGGAGCGTTTGAGCGTGGTTGGGCTGTGGTCTGCTCATCCTGATGCTGCTCAAAGGCCATCCATAAAGCAAGTGATTCAAGTTCTTAGTTTTGAAGAGGCAATGCCTAATCTACCCAAACAAATGCCTCTTCCAACTTTTTGTCAGCCTTCCCTTCAGTTTTAAATTCCCCACGCAAACTTTATTCTGTACGGTTTAAGCCTTTAGGAACATTGAGACATTATTGTATATTCTTCGCTCTTTAAATCAATATTAGCGAGAGATCCCATATCGATCGATGAGGGGAAGGAAGTGTTTTTTAGAAAGGTGTGAAGACCATCTCTAGGAGACGTGTTTTAAAACCTTGGAGGGAAACCCTCGGAGGACAAGTCTAAAATAACAATATTTACTAGTGAGCTTATCTATGACATCAGAGCTAGTCATTGGATGGTGTGAGGCTCACGGTAATATGTAATGGGCCAAAAGCAGACAATATCTACTAGCGGTGGGCTTTGACTGTTACAAATGATATTAGAGCAAGTGATCGAATGGTGTGCTAACGAGGACGTTTAGCCTCCAAAGGAGGCGAGATTCTGAAATCCCACATTGGTTGAGAAGAGAAACGAAGCATTCCTTGTAAGAGTGTGAAACTCACTCCCTAAGAGATATTTTAAAATCTTGAAGGCAAGTACTCGAACGGAAAGCCCAGCATTTTAAAACCTTGAAAGAAAGCTCTCGAACGAAAAAACTGAAACTATTATCCGAGGATATTTGTGCAATCTCTATATTAAATAAGGGGAGCGGATGACTTTACTAATTTATTTATATTACTTAATATGATTTAATTGGTAAGTAGGAATTATTATTTTTTAGATTTATGGTTAGTATTTATATATTATTATTATTATATTAGTCTTTCCATCTTATAAAAGAGACAGGTAAGAAAACACCCTAAAAAAACTCAAATTATCCGTCTGCCTCGTGTAAATTTTGGGTAATTTGAAGAATGCAATGCTCCTGCATTTCCTTGCCCTCAAATTTGAAACTCGGACCTTCCATCTCCAAATTCAAGCTATCATCAATTCCTAAAGTGGAGGCCATCGATCTTGCTGCAAGAATTTCACTTCCTTCTCATGTGAAAGCCATCACCAGCACCTCCAACCCCTTCGTCAAGCATTGCGTTAAACTCCGCTTCACTTCCTCTTATCGCCACTTCCATGGCTCCGTCCTCGTCGTCGGCGCTACCCCAATTAGGTCGCCTCTTAACGCTTTACTTTCTACGTCTGTCCATAGTTTTGTTCTTCAATTAAAAAAATCAAATTCGTCTATGCAGGGTTTTGCCTTTTCAATTCTTTTTGTTGATACATTTCATCAAAAAGGAAACTCTAAATCCTTGAATGTTTTTGCACATTTGTCGTATGGGTTAACCGATTCCCTTCCTTCGTTTATTGTTTTTCCGAAGTAAAGATGAAAGTTGTTCTGTGAGTTTCTCCCGAAATGTCAGTTTGATACGAGTAGTTTTATAATTGGCCCATTTTAGTTTCTGAAGAATTAAGTTCTTGGAATCAGGTCTAATGTAATAGCAAGCATGTGACTGAATGTTTTTGAAGCACCCTTAAGCTTTGTTCAGAGTTTTATTTGCTTGTGACTGTTCTCTGATTCAACTATAAAGGATAAATTGTTGGAGTTGTATAGAATAAGTGCTTTCCAGTCATTTGAATTCAATCCTTATTAATGTTTACCCATGAGAAATTTGCTAGCTCCCCCCACCCCCCGGATCTTGGGAATTCTACTTCTGTCTGTATTAGTTCATTTTTCTCAAGCGGTCATTCTTTGAGGTCAATATTTTGCTCGACTTCACAAGGTTTGTATGCACATACATCTAATCTTAGTGTTTTACAGAGAAATATGCAAGTTTCAAGAGTCTCTGCGTGGGATAAGTTGTACATTGGAGTGCCTACTTCTGCTAGATGAAGTTGAGATTCCTGAAGAACTTGTCGATGTCTCTGTTCGTGTCGTGCGGGTGAGCCCAACTGTGATGAAAAAGCTTTCTGGAATGCAATCAACAGAATCAATTGATGCAATTGCCCTCATGAGAATACCTGACAGTTTTTATAGTTTAGATGGCAATTTAAAACAAGCACATTGTAAAAGATGGTTTCCATCTCCACATCGAATACTAGTCCTTGAGGGAATCCAGGTAATTATTTCATCTGGAATCGACTCAAGTCCTGTAATTTGGTGCATCTAGTTGTCCTGTCTCTAAGTTGTTTCAAAATAATTATCATTTCCTGCATTTCATTTTATAGTTACTGCTGAGATAACTTGCTACATTGTGTTAAGCTATCTCTCAAATGCCACTTCTGGTATTTACCTGTGCACATTGACATGGCAATAGTTTCTCTGTAGCTATGGTCTTCCTAATCTATCTTTAAGGCTTTGAAAAGAACTTTTAATGCTTAACATTTGATGTTATAAAGTATTATAGATTATTTCATTGATTTAGTACCGATATGTGAACATGACATTTAAAGGTTCATCTTTGCTTATTGCAGGACCCGGGCAATCTTGGTACATTAATCAGGTCTGCTTTGGCCTTCAAATGGGTAAGGTTATTATTGGTTTGAATAATCCTTCTTTGAACCCAATTTTCAATGAATGCTGATGGACATACTCACCTTCATGGTTCAAAATTGCCTGAAGGATTATACATGACATACCATGTCTAAGACTGCAATTTTCTGAAGTATGACGAAGCATTTGGGTATATCAAATAAGTTTTCTGATACATATTTGGGTATGCCAAACAGAACGGTGTTTTTCTGCTTCCTGGGTGTTGTGATCCATTCAACGAGAAGGCACTCCGAGCCTCACGAGGAGCATCTTTTCAGCTTCCAATAGTGTCTGGCACTTGGAATCATCTTGAGGATCTAAAAACCGAATTCCAAATGAAAATGTTGGCTGGACATCCCGAAAGTAATGAACTGAAGCCTGTATCGGTCCTTTCGCAACAGTTTGCGAATTCTTCGAAAGATATCCCATTGTGCTTGGTTTTGGGGAGTGAAGGGAGTGGTCTATCTGAGAAATGTTGGCAGGTTTGTGAGCTTTTGAGCATTCCAATGGCGGGTGGTTTCGAGTCCCTCAACGTCTCAGTTGCAGGAGGAATTTTCTTGTACATGCTGCAGGCTGTAAACGATAGACATACTTGATGTTTTCAAGATCAGACTTCTTCACAAATCATTTTGAACTATTTACAAAACATAGTACTCGTGAAACTCCACAGAACTAAAGGAAAAGGAAACGAAAGTCGAGAAATGATTACCGCAACTTGAATTCAAGTTTAATTAAACTAATATGACTTTGACTTTAATCTGAACATTCTTCACGATCATATTGAGATACCTTAATTCATATCATTTCCTATCTCTATTTTAGTTAACGAGATTCTCCATCTTGTTGTAAAAGCTTGATCCCTCCATGGTAACCGCTTGACCATTTACTTGGAGTGTCTCCAGCAAAAATCACATGAAGGTTCTCCCTATGCAAACCAACAGGTGCCTTAAGCCTCCATGTGCTCTACTTAGATCAAGGATATGCTCGGTAGGAAATGTATCTTTTCGTGAGGCCTATCTGAAAATTTACTCGTTAGGGTGAGCTTGGATGTCATGACCCGCCTATCTAAAAATTTAACTCGTTAGGGTGAGCTATAAAATAAAATAACTCGTCAAGGAACTCTAACCACTCGAATCTTCTCTTTCCTTCTAAGAAAGATTCCGTGCATCATGATCTTGGCCGGATTGAACCCCGACTTAGTTTGTTTCTTCTCTCTTCCACTTCTCTCAACTCTCTCTCACTTTTTGTTTCCTGTGCGGCCACTGAAGACCCCATAATGGGCAGAGTGCAAAAGGACCCCTTTGCCCCTATTTGACAGATTTTTTTTATATTTGTTTTATTTTGTTCTATTCATTAATTATAGGGAGCGTAGTAACACCGATTAATTATATTGTTTTGGATCACATTTTTCATTCATTCTTATCCACTCGTCTACGTACTACAGTGTAGATTTTGCACCCTTATCCCTTAAATCCATACAATAAATAGAGAAGTGGTGTGATGGGAAGAAGCAAGAGCAAGAGGGAAAAGTATAAGAGATGGAGATGAAGAAGGTTGGTTTGGTAGTGGCAATGTTATGCATGATGCTAATGTCCATGTCCGGTGTGGTTCAATCTGCGGTGGACAATGAGATCATCCAACTCCCTTCACAACAAAATGAAAATGAAGTTGCCCAAAACCACTTCAATTATGGTTGCTCCAGGAAGATGTTCAAATCTGTTGGATTCAACAACAGTTGTCCTACCTTGTTATGCTCCTCGGACGTGGAGTGTTGCCCATGCAGATGCAAAACCGAATACGTTGATGACTACCCCATTAAGAGATGTATTTCAGAGTGATATGTTTCCACCCTTCCTCCGCTAAATTGTTTGTCACCAACTTTTATTTTATTTCTCTTATCTAATAATGTTGTCTAAGTTATGTTCTTCAAATTCATACAAGAATGTAAAAACTGTAATAAATATCTATGTAACCAAGTCTTTTGTATTGAATAAAGTGGAGGACATTGGTATCATCCTTATTTATGTGTTATTAAATTGTTATCCTTATTTATGTGCTTCCATGCATGTTTGAGTATGATTGATATGACCATATTTATGCATTGTGAAACACCATGATGAACAATGTACGATAAGTATACCAAAACACCGTGAATATGTATGTACGTCTCATAAGGAATTTAAGTAACGTTAATTATGGAAGCATTATGTGCATGATCTCATTAGACCATGATTTTAAATGTTGGACATCAAGAGAGTTGTTTCTTTCCTTTGATGTTATTATCTCCTTTGGTTTTATGGAGATGTTGAAAGATAATTATATTCATAATCTCATTTTTACGAATCAAAGCTCATTTATATCGAAATCGACTTTATTTAAAAAGATATTGGTTGAAATAAAACTTTCATTCCTTTTAAAAAAAATTAAAATTGTAGAGAGCATTATTAAATGTATTTGTATTTGCAAATGATTGTCCCGTCCGCGTTTTATTTTGACATTGAATATTGTTAAAAAAGTTGATGTTTACCCTTAAACTACCATTATATAAATGATTAAAAAGTGTATTTTTCCTTATAATAATCACTCTGGATAAGTATGACAAATAATAATAATAATAATAAATCTTCTCAATGTGTGATCTCTCCAGCTTTTAAGAAATATGTCCCATATGTTTTCACATATTTGAATTTTATTCCAATTTCATATCATAGATGTATATATATTTTTCATTTAATATATACAATATACAATGAAGTGTATATTTATAAATTTGAATCCCGTACAAATTTCATATATATGTTGTTTTCTTTAACGTATCTAATACATTAATATATTATTTTATTTAATATATCAAATACCATCAATATAATTTTTTCATTTAATATAATCAATAATTAACTTTTAATTATTTTTGAACTAAATTGATTATAGCAAAAGAACCCATTAATATATAGATTATAAACGTGACGAAAAAATAATTAGTTAACTTGACCATAGAAAGAACCCATCAATATATAGATTATAAACATGACGAAAAAATAATTAGTTAACTTGACCATATAACGGACAAGTTGTATCAATATCTTTTCACAAATTATTTATAATTGCAATTGAGTTAAAAAGACAAAAAAATTTCTTGTAATTATATTTTTTACCATCAATAATTCACTAGTAAAAGTCCTTTAGTAAATAATATTAATTTAGTTTTCGTATACAAGAGTTAATGTGGTTGCGTCTGATTGCTGGTGCAACAAGTTGGATTGTCCATACATTTGGATGTAGGTATATTACGAAACACTATGCCATCAAACTCTTGTGAATTTTACTCTTAATTTTTTAAAAGGCTTCGTACCATTAAATTATATTCTTTACCTATAAATTCGTAATATTTTCTTTAATTACACTGCTATATTCTTTCCTTTCCACATAATTTTAATTTCTATATTTTTGTTTTTGTTTGGTCATATCAAACAATTTTATTAATGACTTTAAAAAAAATGTATTTGATCCATTAATCAATATTTAAAGACGAGTTGCCTACAACAACGTTTGAAGAAAAGGTCCATGGATATACAATGGGCAATGAATTTGAATTCTAATTCAAACTCCTATGCATAAAACCCCATTCTTTTTTACAACCTCTCGTCCACATACTAGTTTCAATAGTTCAACCTGGTCTATTTTAGTCTGTTACATATTGTCGTGAGCTTCACGATTTTAAAGCATGTTTATTAGTGTGATATCTCACATCAGTTGGAGAGGATTAAGAAACATTCTTTATAACGGTGTGAAAAGTTCTTCATATTAAAAGTATTTTTTTAAATTATGAAACTAGAGACGATACATAACAAGTCGAAACAGACAATATTTACACCAACTAAAACTATTATTAAGAGTAACCATTCTAATGTCCAAAATTTACAATAAAATATTTGGAAGATCATAATTTATTAAAAAGTTAGGGCGACTGTGTTTATGGGAGCTCGACATCCTCTCTCTGGTAGGCATACTACATTAAAGCCATTTGCGAGGCCGGTCTTAGTACAAACATAAGTCTGGCCAGCATAGAGGTTGAATTTTAACGTAATTAAAAATTTAAATATGTATTAAAAATTTTAAATTAAGTTATTAGACTCATTAAACTTAATTATAAGAGTCGAGTTAACCCTAAAAAATTTGAAAATCAAAATAGGTTTATGACTAAATAAAATTTTAAATCTTTTGCAATAATTTTGTAATAAGATATTAAACCACAACTTTTCTTCCATATAAAACTCCTATGTGAATGAAGAAGCAATGTTTCAAATCACGATTTTGAAACAACAATGTGTTTGAACAACAACAACAATCTGTTTCTTATAATCTTGTATTCCAGAGTCACCATTTTGTTAACCCATTTTCCCCACAATCCTCTCTCCTGTGAATCATGGCCATTTCCAACATTGGAGTTCAAACAAACCACCATTTTCATGCACTCCAATTCTTCATCTTCTCTTTCATTCTCTTCAAAGTTCATTCACTTTACTTCACCTTCCCTAACTTTCAACCAAACAATCCCAACTTATTCTTTGAAGGTGATAGCTTCACCAGCAATGGTGTTATTCAACTTACAAACAACCAAGCAGACGGTCCCCTCACCGAGAGTTCCGGCCGAGCTTCCTATGCCAAGCCGATGCGCCTATGGGACGCCTCCACAGGACAGGTAATGTAGGATGATATAATTAGTTGATTTAGTTTGCATTCACTTGTTAATTAGTAGTTTCTTTGATTTCTTCCATCATGGATAAATCCGCTGCATCCACAGGTTTCGGACTTCGCATCTCCTTTAGAATCAACACACTTAACGAATTTTTATATGGTGATGGCATAGCCTTCTTCATCGTCCCTTACGATTCCAGAATCCCACCTAACTCAACAGGGGGTTTTCTTGGATTATTCAGCTCCCACTCTGCTTTTGATACCTCCAAGAATCATGTTTTCGCTGTTGAATTTGACAGTAAGCAGGATGATTGGGACTCGAGTGACAATCATATAGGAATCAATATCAATTCCATTAATTCTACTCGTCATCTTGTGTGGAACACCAGCATGAAGGATAACCGAACAGCCAATGCCTGGATAACTTACAATTCCTTCACTAAAAATTTGTCTGTCTATCTAACTTATGTTAAAGATCCTGTATTTACTAGAAATGTTAGCATCTCAACTACTGTTGACTTGAAAAGTTTATTGCCTGAAAGGGTCAGAATTGGATTCTCCGCCGCTACGGGGAACTGGTTCCAAATACATAACATCATTTCTTGGACCTTCGACTCAACCTTGGAAGATAATATTGTAGGTGGAGGTGGAGGTGGAGATAACAATAAAAATATTGGTTTGGCCATTGGCCTAGGTGTTGGGCTTGGTGTTTTGATATGTGGGTTGAGTTTGTTCGGATTTCTTTGGTGGAGGAAACAATTGAGAAGCAGAATGGAAGATGTGGAAGATCTTATGGATGATGAGTTTGAAAGAGGAACTGGCCCAAAAAGGTTCACTTATAGGGAATTAACTCACGCCACAAAGAATTTTGATGAGGCCGGCAAGCTTGGAGAAGGAGGGTTTGGAGGTGTTTACAAGGGTTTGTTAACCGAATCAGATACAGAAATCGCGGTAAAGAGGGTTTCCAGAGGATCAAGACAGGGGGAAAAAAGAGTACGTTTCTGAAGTGAAGATTATAAGTCGTTTGAGGCATAGGAATCTTGTTCAGCTCCTCGGTTGGTGCCATGAACGAGGTGATTTCCTTTTGGTTTATGAGTTCATGCCCAATGGCAGCCTGGATACTCACCTCTTCAAAGGTAAAACCATGCTAACTTGGGAAGTTAGATACAAAATAGCAGTAGGTTTGGCTTCTTCTTTGCTATATCTTCACGAAGAATGGGAACAATGTGTGGTGCATAGAGATATCAAATCCAGCAATGTAATGCTGGACTCTAATTTCAACGCCAAACTCGGGGATTTCGGGCTTGCAAGGTTTGTGGATCATGAGATGGGCTCACAAACTACTGTTCTGGCTGGCACCATGGGGTATCTAGCCCCAGAGTGTGTGACGGATGGCAAGGCAAGTAAGGAATCAGATGTTTACAGTTTTGGTGTGGTTGCTCTTGAGATTGCCTGTGGACGGCGGCCAGTAGAAGCAAGAGCGGAACCTGATCAAGTGAGGCTTGTGGAGTGGGTGTGGGGGATGTATGGCAGAGGCCAAGTCCTAGAAGCTGCAGACAAGAGACTGGCAATGGACTTCGATGAGCAACAAATGGAGAGTTTGATGGTGGTGGGATTATGGTGCTGCCACCCTGACTTCAAGATGCGGCCCTCCATAAGACAGGTGATTAATGTTCTAAATGTTGAAGCTCCACTGCCCGCCCTGCCTTCAAAGTTACCCGTGCCGATGTACTTTGCGCCGCCGTTGAATTTATGCAAGTTAACGTACACATCAACAGGTTCCACCGAGACGCCAGTGGATAGAAGTGAGTGTTCATGTAGTACTTGTTCGACTTGCACCACAGAATCATCCGGATCAAGTATGTCGCTATTAAGATTTTTGGGTTTTACCATTTTATGTAAAAGATGCTCCAAATGGTGTTTTGTTCTGTCCAATATTATTTCAATTGACTTGATTGAGCCTGTGCCCCTCAGCTAGTGGGATGAACAAAGAAAAGGTGTGCTAAACCTATCTCATAAATTATTTTCCTCTTTAATTTTTGCTTTAATTGTTGGAGTTGTGTAGAATATGTGCTCTCCTGGCATTTGAATGCAATCCTACTTGGAGCATAACCAAATTTATGTAATGTTTTCCCATGAGGAATTTGCTAGCTCCCCCCACCCCCCGGGGATCTTGGGAATTCTACTTCTGTCTTGTATTAGTTCAATTTCTCATGTGGTCATTCTTTGAGGTAAATGTTTTGCTCGACTGCACAAGGTTTGTATGCACATACATCTAATCTTGGTCATTTACAGAGAAATATGCAAGTTTCAAGAGACTCTGCGTGGGATAAGTTGTACATTGGAGTGCCTACTTCTGCTAGATGAAGTTGAGATTCCTGAAGAACTTGTCGATGTCTCTGTTCGTGTCGTGCGGGTGAGCCCGACTGTGATGAAAAGCTTTCTGGAATGCAATCAACAGAATCAATTGATGCAATTGCCCTCATGAGATTACCCGACAGTTTTTATAGTTTAGATGGCAATTTAAAACAAGCACATTGTAAAAGATGGTTTCCATCTCCACATCGAATACTAGTCCTCAAGGGAATCCAGGTAATTATTTCATCTCGAATCGACCCACGTCCTGTAATTTGGTGCATCTAGTTGTCCTGTCTCTAAGTTGTTTCAAAATAGTTATCATTTCCTGCATTTCATTCTATAGTTACTGCTGAGATAACTTGCTACATTGTGTTAAGCTATCTCTCAAAGGCCACTTTTGGTATTTACCTGTGCACATTGACATGGCAATAGTTTCTCTGTAGCTATGGTCTTCCTAATCTATCTTTAAGGCTTTGAAAAGAACTTTTAATGCTTAACATTTGATGTTATAAAGTATTATAGATTATTTCATTGATTTAGTACCGATATGTGAACATGACATTTAAAGGTTCATCTTTGCTTATTGCAGGACCCGGGCAATCTTGGTACATTAATCAGGTCTGCTTTGGCCTTCAAATGGGTAAGGTTATCGGTTTGAATAATCCTTCTTTGAACCCAAATATCAATGAATGCTGATGGACGTACTCACCTTCATGGTTCAAAATTACCTGAAGGATTATACATGACATACCATGTCTAAGACTGCAATTTTCTGAAGTATGATGAAGCATTTGGGTATGTCAAATAAGTTTTCTGATACATATTTGGGTATGTCAAGCAGAATGGTGTGTTTCTGCTTCCTGGGTGTTGTGATCCATTCAACGAGAAGGCACTCCGAGGCTCACGTGGAGCATCTTTTCAGCTTCCAATAGTCTCTGGCACTTGTACATGGTGCAGGCTGAAAACGGTAGACATATTTGATGTTTTCAAACTCAGAGTTGTTCACAAATCATTTTGAACTATTTACAAAGCATAATACTGGAGAGAAACTCCACAGAACAATGATTAGTGGTAATAACAAGTCTAACTCCAAAAAGTCTTATATGAATCACTCTTTGGATAAGTAAAACAAATAATTATATTAAAAGAATCTTCCGGGATTGAAAATTTCAAAATGTTACTCTCCACCAAGTTTTTTAATTTTATGAAACACGTCTATTCAAGCTTTCTCTCCTTAATTTCTTTTTAAATGGATGGACGTGTGGCAATTTTTAAAAAAAATTAAAATAATAATCTTTTAAATTCATATATCTGGAACACATTACCATATAATAAGTTTTATATCTACTACATGCACGTCAAACTTTCATGAGTTGTAGTCGATCTTTCACAAATTGATCATAATTACAAGTGAGTCAAAAGACTAATTTTCCTATGTAATTATATATTTTTACCATTATTAATCCTCTGATAAAAGATTATAAGATCTTATCATAAATTAATTTAACGAGAGTTGGACTTCATTTTTCAATACTATTAATTTACTTTTGGTTGTGTCTAAGCTGCTGGAGTACAACAAGTTATGTTGTCTGCAGTTTCGGAGGGAGACCTATTAAGAATTAGAAATATCCACAATAATATTATACCAATAAAGATAGTATTTGTTACTCATGATTTCTGTCGTTAAACAATTTTCTTAATAAATTAAAAAAAAGTATTTGATCCATTCATCAACATTAATCAATATTTAAAAAGAAAAGGTCAACTGATGTACAATAATATATGCAGGGGAATGCATTTGAATTTTAAACTCCTGTTTTGCACAAAAGCCCATTCTTTTTACAACACCCATTCACACACCAACTAAAAATAACAATTCTAACGTTCCAAAGTTGCAATAAAATATTTGGAAGGACTTAATTGGTTAAATAGCCACTATTGTTATGCGCTTGAAAGTAGAACAAATGTACTTACAACGCCAGTAAACGGAATTACATAAAGAGACACCAAGATATTTACGTGGTTCGGAGAAAGGAAGTTCCTCTGCATCCACCGGTGGCAACTAATCACTAATAAACAAAAGGTTACAAGTGAATACCTCACTATCACACTACAAATACTCTCACCCATGTGTTATTCAAGAAATGAAATGTGACACACAAAACTCCTCCAAATTCCTATACCACTTGTTATGAACGGAGGGAGAAATCTCTCTTCCTATTGAAGAATAAAATTAGCTATTATATAGCATTACAGAATCAAATCTTCCATCTAATTCAAATAAGGAATCAAATCTAATCGAAATAACCAAATCAAATAAAAAAACTTATGACAAACGTGGGTGTCGAAGAAGGCCGGGTATCCTCCATCTTAATAGGCATAAATTAAAGCCAATTGCGAGGGCTGCCAACTTGGTGCAAGGATAAGTCACACCAACATCGAAGTTGAATCTTAACATAAGTAATGCACAATTTGAACGAAGATTCCACTTGAAATTTGGACGCTTACGAAGACTTTTACTTCCATTAAGTTCATGCACATTCATCCAGGATAATAAATAAAAAAGGCCTTTGAGGTCCATCAAACCAATGCCTTGCTTGCTTCCTTTTCCAAGTTGCCTCCTCGATTGGCTCCTCAAGTCGTGGATTCTAAATTTTTTAAAATCTCCGGTAGCCTATGAGGACATTTTAAGAGTTTATTATTGAAGTGGTTACCTATTCCAATTAAAAAAAAAAAAAAATACAACTTGAATGGATGGTGTTGGACCAATTAAACTTGGAATTATAAGAGTCTACACAAAATTTAACCCTAAAAAAAGTTTGAAAAATCAAATATTGTTTTATTTTATGACTAAATCAAAATTTAACATCTTTTGCAATAATTTTCTAGTAGGATGTCAAAGCACAACTTTTGTTTCATATAAAACTCTCATGTGTATCGAGAAGCAAAAGAAAAGTTGAAGTCAATATTCCAAATGTTTTATATTTCAACACAACAACACAATCCTTTTCTTATATTCTTGCATTCCCAAAGTCACCATTTTGTTAACCCACTTTCCCCATAATCCCTTCTCTCTATCTCCCTCTCTCAATCATGGCCATTTCCAATCTTGGAGTTCAAACAAACCACCATTTTCATGCACTTCAATTCTTCATCCTCTCTTTGATTCTCTTCAAGGTTCATTCACTTTCCTTCAACTTCCCTAACTTTCAACCAAACAATCTCGACGTATTCGTCGAAGGTGATAGCTCCATCAGCAATGATGTTATTCAACTTACAAAGAACCTAGCGGACGCCTCCCTCGCCGAGAGTGCCGGCCGAGCTTCCTACGCCAAGCCGATACGCCTATGGGACGCCTCCACAGGACAGGTAATGTAGGATGTATAACATGTTGAGGATTATTGGGATTGGGAGTGTCCCACATTGGTTAATTTAGTGGAAGATCATGGGTTTATAAGTGAGGAATACTATCTTCATTGGTATGAGGCCTTTTGGGGAAGCCCAAAGCAAAGCCATGAGAGCTTATGCTCAAAGTGGACAATATCATACCATTGTGGAGAGTTGTGTTACTCTAACATAACATGTCATAGTTCGTGTTTATTTACTTGTTAATTAGTGCTTTTAGAATTCTAGTATAAATAGTTTCTTTGATTTATTCCATCGTGGATTTGGCTTAATCAGAAATCCGCTGCATCCGCAGGTTGCGGACTTCACCACCCACTTCTCCTTTAGAATCAACACACTTAACCAAACTGTATTCGGTGATGGCCTAGCCTTCTTCATCGTCCCTTACAATTCCACAATCCCACCTAACTCAACAGGGGGTTTTCTTGGATTATTCAGCAACGACTCTGCTTTTGATACCTCCAAGAATCAAGTTTTGGCTGTTGAATTTGACAGTAAGCAGGATGATTGGGACTCGAGTCAAAATCATATAGGAATCAATATCAATTCCATTAATTCTATTCGTTTTCTTAATTGGAGCAGCAGCATGAAGGATAACCGACTAGCCAATGCCTGGATAACATACAAATCCTCCACTAAAAAGTTGTCTGTGTATCTAACTTATGATGAAGATCCGATTTTTACTGGAAATTTTAGCATCTCAGCTTCTGTTGACTTGAAAAGTTTATTGCCTGAAAGGGTCAGAATTGGGTTCTCCGCCGCTACGGGGAACTGGGTCCAAATACATAACATCATTTCTTGGAACTTCAATTCAACCTTGGACGATAATACTGGAGGTGGAGGTGGAGGTGGAGATAAAAATAAAAATATTGGTTTGGCCATTGGCCTAGGTGTTGGGCTTGGTGTTTTGATATGTGGGTTGAGTTTGTTCGGATTTCTTTGGTGGAGGAAAAAGTTGACAAGGAGAATGGAAGATGTGGAAGATCTTATGGATGATGAGTTTGAAAGAGGAACTGGCCCAAAAAGGTTCACTTATAGGGAATTAGCTCAAGCCACAAAGAATTTTGATGAGGCCGGCAAGCTTGGGGAAGGAGGGTTTGGAGGTGTTTACAAGGGTTTGTTAACCGAATCAGATACAGAAATCGCGGTAAAGAGGGTTTCCAGAGGATCAAGACAGGGGAAAAAAGAGTACGTATCCGAAGTGAAGATTATAAGTCGTTTGAGGCATAGGAATCTTGTTCAGCTCCTCGGTTGGTGCCATGAACGAGGTGATTTCCTTTTGGTTTATGAGTTCATGCCCAATGGTAGCCTGGATACCCACCTCTTCAAAGGTAAAACCATGCTAACTTGGGAGGTTAGATACAAAATAGCAGTAGGTTTGGCTTCTTCTTTGCTATATCTTCACGAAGAATGGG